TTACTACAATAAAAATAGAAGTAGGGAACAAATAGAAGAAGATAAAGGAGTGACCGGAAATTCCGGACATTGGCCAATAGCAATATCCGGTTCATTCCTTTATTCCTGTTCTCACTGAATCCAGAAGGGAAAGGATCTTACTGTGATTCAAAAGTACTAATCTTTTTTAATTCCATTCTGAGATTATGTCTTTCTTTAATATGTTTAAATTACAAAATTAAACACATTATAAGACTGTTTAAAACATTTGTTCAAGAAGAAAATCTTTCTGAAGTTACTACGTTCATAGATTATCCTAAAAAACAACAAAAAATATTTTCTATATTTTTAGAAGTACATATAAGCTCTATGTACTTCCATACATAGCGAGGGGTAAATATGTATTAACCGTATTAAGTTAAAATAACTTTATATGTTAAAATTGAAGAAAGTAAAAACATATTAAAATAGTTTTAGAATATCTGTCCGTTAATATAATCCTTTAGAAGTCAACATTTCTCCTTCCATAGTACATCCTAAAAAACCATTTTTTTAAACAGTTTTACAAGTAGCCTTTATGTAAGCCAGCTAAAGTTTTTGTACAATTCAATACGCTTACGTAAACGGATTTAACATTTCATTTAACTGCTACAAAATCATATAAAATATTACTCCCAAATTTACTGAAAGGAGAAATATATTTTTAAGTCTCTACTATAAAAAGAATAATATTTAAAAATTTTATACATTATTTAAGGCCAACACTTTTATACAAATGTAAAAAAACTCTACCGAAAAAATTATTTTTAAATGTATGTGTTAAAACTGAAATTATATCAGCGCTGGTCATACATTCAAAATATACTTTTGATAAGTTTTAAATATACAAAGATAAAACGTCAGCAATTATATCTGTCTTTTATTATTTTACTTTATAGCTGCAAAGGTACCAGCAACTTCATTTTATCACAGACACGCCAATCTTAACAAAAACACCTCCATTGTTGTCACCGATAGTTCCCAAAACGTTTTAACTTTTGACATCTTCAGTGAAGCTTATCAGTTGGAACTTTAAGTATTTGAGATAAACTCCAAAAACTGACAAGCTAAGTGTCGCATCAGAAGGTAAAATGGGTCGTTTCCCCATTTTCAGGTTTGTAAGATTAAAATTTACTTGTTTTGTAGTATGAATTATTAAGTTTATTTACATAACTGTACATAATTTAACAGGATTTCTTCACAAACATAATTAAACGTTAATTACGTTCGGCTTGGACGTTTGAACGAAAAGCAATGAACATATAATATCATTCTACATTTGTAAAACTACTTTTCAAACAAAGATATACTGCAAAAAATTCCTTAATGACGTCAAACTCTAGATTTTCAGTATTAAAAACTACAAAATAGTTCCTTACTAAAGTATCGTATACTAAAGTTGATTTAAAAAATAATCTTTGTACTTGGGGTTTTCGTCCTAGGACTCTGCCATGGAATAGTTGTTCCACATAACTTAAAGTCAGGCTTAGGGGTTGCGGAATTACCAGTTCGATAAAATCTGTTGGAGATTTAGAGAGATTTGAACCTAGGACCTCAGGAACCAAAGTTGTGCGCTCTACCCTAGACAAGCTTTTTCCCCTTGTTAATATTAAACACAGGTATCATTTATCATGTATAGCTTTCTCTGACAAACCAGTGGTGTCGGGAATCACATTACTGAGCCGGTGTTTAAATTTATCTGAGTGGCTGGTTTTGGTTTTTATTTATTTCAGTTTTTTATTTTTCAATAAACCTCCAAACTGTAAAAGAAAATAGGAATTACTACGCAGAGCTTATCAAAGTTAAAACGATGAACAGGTAATTAATATTGGACTGATTTAAACTGGGATGAGTTTCGTTACCGTCAGGGACTCAAAGTAATTACATAGGTCTAAACATTATTTAACCTTTTCAAACAAGTCCCAATCCAATATTCTTTTGATCCGATTTAATGAACACGTTTGTAAATCATAACAAGGAATAATAGAATTACAATTGCCGCTGATTATAAAACGAAACGTATTGACTTTTTTTAGTAACATAGAATACATTACCCACCTTCCCTTACCTTACATTCTAACCACATGTTCCACATGAAGGTGGGGGAATTATTTTGTTTTTGACGTTTTTAAAACATTAAAAAAAGTACACTAAACGAGAACCAATATTAAAGGCATTTCTTTTAGGTTTGGTTTAATATAAATTTAGGATCTTGACTGTTGTTAAACATATGTCACAACCACAATAAAATAAAAGGGAATCAATCAAAATAATTAACAAAACAAAATGATTCTCTAAAGATTTTAAAATGAATAAAATAATTCTTTGATAATCAAAAGAAATAATAATTTGTTTGTAAGATCTTGTATCACAGATTGTAACGAGAATGTAAAAGACTACATGACGCAATGTTTTCTTTGGGGTTTTTAAAGGTTAAACAGCTGTGTAAACGTTGTGTCATGTATGACGTCATCACAAAGGCTACGTCACACAGAATCATTGGTCACTCTGACACAAGGTCTACCACGATGTGAGTTGAATAGTGATCACTGCCTTTGTACGTAGCTTCTACTTGTAATATATTTTAACCAAAGGTTTACACAGTTTTGATCGGGTAGGTAAAATGTAGTAGAATACGCATTTATTACACATTTATTAAGTTCGCTTTGTCTTGTCTATGCAATATGGTATCCCTGACTTTTTAAAACAATAAAAGTGTAAATATATGCTTCTAGTGTTATAAGGCGTATTTTTATTTACTTTTCGTAAATTCAATAACACGTATCATGTTGGTCAAGTTATTTAAAATACCGCATACCCGAGTACTAGAATGCACAATGTAAAAACCACACATGGATACATGCATGGGTAGTATTTATACATTGAGATTAGAAATAGGTATTTACAATTCCTAACAATCTCAATATATTTGCTTTCCAATTTAAACAAAACAATAACGTTTTGATGATATTTCTAAATACTTAAGTTAAAAAACAATATAAATCTAATTACACATCATTTGTAATTATGATTAGTTTAAAGCGTATGGAATTCCACTTAAATTCATGTTGATGTGTGGAACTAATGATTTGAAGTAAAACGGATTAATAAAATCTAATTAACAATGTAATGTACTTGAGTTCGTGTAAAGAAGGGAAAATATACAATAGGTTGAATTAAATCTTCATCTTGTGTTTGAATACTGTATACATTTGCACAGCGTATAAGTACATTGAGCATACAAATAGCTATTTACCGTTCTTAGCCATCTGAATATATTTGTTTTCCAATTTCAACAGGGGGATAAAATGTGTCTTTAAGTAGGATGCTTCTGTGCTTAGGACGTAATAATCTAAATTTAATTACACACTATATGAGATTATGCAGAACTTAAAGCGTTCAAATTTCACTTAAATTCACACCCGATGTATTTAACAATGAACTTATTCCGGATGAATACTAGTTTGCCACCTCTGCCTTGCTCAGTTTGCCATGGCAAACGACATCTCGCTAAAGGTCTCGTTATTGGTAACTTGAGCTGATTTCTCCACATAACAAGCTGCGTAACTCAATAATCGTTCAGATTTTCACAGTAACTTTATATTCCTATAACAGATTTAATCTCTTTTTACACCAAATGTAGTTAAATCTTTGCGTTCGTATAAAAATGGAATAATATTTGTGTAAGAAATTTGAAATCAATATGATTTTCGCAAGAGTTTAAACCATCTAGCACTGAATGCCGTTAAATCCATCGGGTGCGAATTTAAGTGAAATTTGAACGCTTTAAGTTCTGCATAATCTTAAACAGTGTTTAATTAGATTTAGATTATTATGTCCTGTGCACAGAAGCGTGCTACTTAAACACACATTTTATCCGCCTGTTGAAATTGGAAAACAAATGTATTCAGATTGCTAAGAACGGTAAATAGCCATTTGTATGCTCAATGTACTTATACGCTGTGCTAAGGTATAAGGTATTTCAAACACAAGATAAAGATTAAATTCAACCCATCGTATTTTTCAACATTTATACGCGAAATTACACATTTTCTTACCTATATAGCATTGTCTTACTTTAATTTATTTCTAAACGTCGTTTTGTGCAGCTTGAAATCTTATACACATAGTACACTAAAATCCCAAGAGTAATAAACGCTGCAGTATTATGTGACTGTTCTATAACTGAGTTATGTTGTCTTTTAATCCTCAAGATGCCAAATACGTTTTTTGAAAGTTATAATGCACTTTTTTTATTCCCCAAAGTTATTTTATTATTTTGCTCAACAATAAAGAAACATAAGGGCTGATTTTGGTCCACATTTTGTTTATATTCTGACTTTTACCATCAAACTTTAAATTCATTCAAATCACAATATAAACCATTTGTTTTCAGAGTCCTAAAAAGAGAGTGTTTTCATGCTTAGCCTTTACTTTTACCTAAAGTAAACTTTCAAGCTTTCGACTTACAACTGACACTAAAGGCCCGTTCACACGGGGCGAGTTTACAAGCTACACGCCAGCGTGTAAGAAGCCGGCGAGTTGGCGAGTGTGCTTGTATTCGTTCACACGGAGCTTGTCCACTCGCCAACTCACAGACGTGTAGAAAGACGCCGGCGAGTCGGCGAGTGCGCTTGTAGTCGTTCACACGATGCTTTTTCCACTCGCTCAGTAGCTGGCTTGTACCAAATCCTCCAACATCTTTGAGTAACAAGCGCACAAGCACAAGCAACTGTGTTCACACTGGGCTACTTTACACGCCTACTCGCTCAAAAGCTGGCGAGTTGGCGTGTAAAGTAGCGGCAGCGTCAACTTTTTCCAGAGCTTTTTTACAAGCAGCTTTTGAGCGAGTACGTCGTTCACACTGAGCTATTTTACTAGCTGCGTGTAAAAAAGCCGGCGTGTAGCTTGTAAACTCGCCCCGTGTGAACGGGGCTTAAGATATAAAAACTTCTAAAAATCTCACTCTAATTTTGACTCACCCTGAAGTAGCGTGGAGATCAACCTCGGGCCAGCTGAGCCGACGGCGGCAGAAGGCCACTAGGGGAGGTCTCTCCCGATGGGACTGCTGACGGAACGACCCAACCCTCCTCGGACCATCCAGGGTACGACGCCTGGGGGGTGTGAGGGCTCCAGGAGGTGGGACTACCTTGGGAAATCCCGGGATCGAGGCCGACCTCGAACCTAAGACGACAATACAGGATTAGAACTTGATATAATAGAATTTCTTAGCATATGCACAGAGAAGTATAGTACAGAGGAACCACTTTGGATCTGGTATGTTGTACCGGAATTATGCTTGTGCAAGAAAAGAGCAGAATATGTAAGCACTATGTGGAAATTGTTATCGCACAGAGTCCTTTTCTACCGTGAGCGTTGTAGTGTCTACCATGAAAGCAAAGGGCGATGTTGGGCACCCAAGACACCAGCACTAGTGCAAGACACCCCAAGTGTACCATTGAGGGATTTCTCTGTACCTTACTTCTCTGTGAAGTAGCAACTACATTGATTGTTTGAAAGTTAGTCTAATTCATCTCATCAAAATGTTAACTAACATAGTCTTCCACAATTAGTGATCTTTGACACACAAAAACATCTTTTACAAATGTATCCAAGAACCTAAAAAATGTGCTTGTATTGAAATGTTGCAGTTCTCCTAATTTTAGAGAATATCTCAGCTTAACTTATAAAGGGTACAGTCCCACAGTCCGTTAAGATGTTAATACAATAATAGGTTTTACATCCTTCATATAGTCCAACGGTTAATATTGCTCATCAGCCAACATGAGCTGTAAGCAATATTGTTGGACTATTTGATAGAGGTATGTAAAACCTATTGTTGTATGAACAAAATAGTCCAGGGGCCAGAAACATTCGAGATATCCACGATATAGGTTCTCTGTGGAACTGTACCCATTTTAAAACCCAAAACATCAAATAGATTTGCAACTATATTATATACATTTTACAGCGTTCTCTCACCAGGCCCAGCAGCCTCCTCCGCCGGGGCCTCAGTGCTCGGCTCCTTACTGAGGGAGAACCTCTTCGGACTGAGGCTGAGACTCGCCACCCCACTGGTCACCATCTGCTGCAGCGAGTTGAAAAAACTCATCTTGGTCCCCTCCAGGTTACGTCATTAGGGCTCTGCAACAATGGGTCAGCTGTTAAACCTAAGGGAGAGGGGGGAACCACGCTTTACGCACACAGGTGGCCAGCCTGACACTCGATGAATCAGCCTAATTATTAAAAGAACTATGTCCTGTTGGGCACAATCTGTTACTGTTGGTACGACTGATATTCTATAACTGTACTGGGAAATATAGTGTTTAATGAAGTGGTATTGTAGAGGTCCTAGTGTGGCAAGGTAAGATGAATGAGGTGTTAAGAGACAACAACGGATATTAGAACAGAAAATAGCATAAAACATAGAATGACGTCACTGACCTGAATATTGTACACAGGGAACATCTGGCTTAGACAGTTTATGGCAGTTCCATTTAAATAATACTTCCGAAATTTTTTTATTGAATGATTTTAGAGTAATTTAAATGGGGGTATCAATTGGGATTATATGGAGATCAGGCATTATTTGTCACTACAAAATTAGAATTTTAACTTTAACTTTAGCACCACAATGTACTGTATAAGAAACCCATACTTTTCCCATTTTGCAACAATTTGAAACTGCAAAGCAGTCTACTTGTGGCAGATACGGCGGGAACGTGATGACGTACTTCCGGCGAGTGAATTCACACTTCCGATTCACTTCCGGTTCTTTTACACGACAGCGAGGTGATCAAACCGTGCTTTCATCGAATGATGGTAAAATACTCTCTTAAACGCATTACTCCTGTAAAAGTCAAGTGAACACCTAGTGCAGTCCTTTGTAAAATGTGGAATAATTATGGAAATCATGGAATTTATATCAGTTGGTATAGGTTATGACCGAAAAAGGTTTAAAAACCGTAAAACTAGTATCTTAAGTTCAATTTAAAAAAACTCCACCCAAAAAACTAGGAGTAAAAAAGTCAAATTTCAGTTATTTACCAAAGCCTACTACATTTCTTCCTAAACATTTTGATGCATGACACAAAATAAAAATATTTTTTATGCGGTGTTATTCTAGAAATTAAGTTAGTGCTACACTAGTTTCTCACATCCTATACATCGATGGTAACAGACAGCCCCGTTTTCCGAAAGTTGACTTTTTCAGTGTTTTGCAAACTATGAACAGTGATAACTCAAGTTGTGTAGTAGGTAGATTCTTAACTTTCTTTTTATTTGACAGCTTAATCATAGTTTAAATCTGTAGCATGGGTTTTATAAAAATAACACTATAGTTATTTTCAATTTTCGTACACAAAAAAACCAATTTTAAAATTTAAGTTTTTGAGAGAAAAGTTTATAATTCTTATAATAGCCTATTTATATTTTTATCCCATGCTACAGTTTGTAGGTAAAACTATAAGATTTCAAGTAAAACCAAAGTCTGTTTTGAATTCCCATTTTCAACGATCCCCTCCCAAGCAATTGGTAAATTCAAATTGGTAATTTTTTTTTTTAAGTTTTGTTTTTTGTGTTCTTTTAAACATTAGCACTAAAAAATGGTATATATGTTAAAGATGGATGATGTTAATGATGTTAGTGATGTTAAGATGTTAATGATGTGGTAAAGATGGAACATTGTTTTTTTTATTTTGTTGTAGTTTCCTCATTTTGGTGCTAGGTTTTTCAACGTTGTAAAATTATATACATACTGTAGTCTAATATGATTTTTTTTCAATTTGCAATTATAACAACTATAGTAGATGTACAATATGAATGTATTCGGTAGATAGGAGGGGTGGTTAATGAATTATCCTACACATTCCATAGTATTGTACATTATAAGCACAAAGAACTATGTTACGTCGTAGGAAGGCTAATTATAATTTGGCTGCATTGCCTGTAGGGCTTTTTCTTGATTGTCAATTCACGTTCCATTTCCTCGTTATGTGTTTTTCCTTGTTAAATCTTTTTTGCATATTTTTGCAAAATACGTGTTTTACTTTCTTATATCCGCAACACCTGGAGAGGTTAGGTTAGGGTCAAGAACATTTGTACAAAAAAAAACAATTTCACTTAAAATATTTGGTTACTATGCCTAGCCCAACATAACCTGACCTGGTGTGATCGATATAACAAAAGATTACTAACACTATTCGTATTAATACCTTGTAAAATGGTAGTAATTCTTCAACGCACACAAATCTAACTACACATAGAACGTTAAACGCAAAAAAATACTCAATGAATAGTCAAAAACTTATTTCGTAACTAGTAAATTTTGTGAGGGAATAATTTTGGTTCTGAGGAATCAAATGGACGAGACATCTCAGGAACTGTCGACGATCAAGGAGATTGGTCAGGCAATATTGCCAATCTCCGGAAACGATAAGATGGGACAGCGGGATTTGTAGAAGAGGAAAACAGTCGTACCAACTTTGTGACACTTCACAGCTGCTATATTTCGTCGTAGGGATATTTCACCTATACTTCTCTGTCCATATGCAAATTGTATATTGTGTTTTTGTTTATCTCATTTAGAATTTAAATAATAAATAATGGTTTAAATACCTTATACTGTCAAAAGTGATCCTTTGTAGTCTATGTAGGCTACTGCAGTTTCATTCCCGGGGGAACTTCATCAGGCTTGTGATGACATCAAAACTTCATTCCATAGGAAGTCGTCATGGTAAAAATCCATCAAGGTCATATATACATAAAACACGGACGAACACACGAACATAACACATAAACATTACGAAACACGGTACCGGGAAGCACGTTACGCACGGAGGGCAGGTCTAGACTCAAGGAGTCAGGGACTCAGGGAGTCTAGACCTGCCTTCCGTGCGTAACGTGCTTCCCGGTACCGTGTTTCGTAATGTTTATGTGTTATGTTCGTGTGTTCGTCCGTGTTTTATGTATATATGACCTTGATGGATTTTTACCATGACGACTTCCTATGGAATGAAGTTTTGATGTCATCACAAGCCTGATGAAGTTCCCCCGGGAATGAAACTGCAGTAGCCTACATAGACTACAAAGGATCACTTTTGACAGTATAAGGTATTTAAACCATTATTTATTACTTTACCAGTGATCCGGAGGCTAACAACATAGAATTTAAAGATTTTATGGCTTTTACTGGATAGAGGCTTTCAAAAGAAGACATTATTGAACACCTGATATAGTATTTTCCACAACGATCGCGTTAAGACTATTTAAGTGAACTGCGTACACAAGTAAATGTGTACAAGTATAATGCTATTTTAACTGGCCAATGGTGTGACATTAAATTGCCTTTATTTTATATTAGGCTGTTTGGTTAAATATTCAATACATCAGTTAGTACGGGATTTTTACCTGTTTAAAAAATAAATAATGTAGCCAACGAAAAGATACATCACTTTAATGATAAATATATATAAAAAACATTCTGAGGAAATAAAATATATAAATTAATTAAACTGCTACAAGAGTCCAGATACCCATTAACCAAGGTAAATTGTAAACCCTCATAAATTTAAGTATTGTTACTAAATTTTTATATACCATTATACCATTTGTTTATTAAATTCAACCAAATCACGCTTTAGTACAGTCAGTTATTTTTGGACGTTCTGTGTATTTTCTGCCAACGCTTGGCCAATATGGGAATAGTGGAGTGTCAGTGAAATTGGTTTTGCTAGCCACATGTTTGAGTGTCTACTCTCCTGTGTTAGTGTTTTCAGATGAAACAAATCTAATTTAAAATAAAATTGTTTAGCAGATGGTTTTGTTATAATTTGTCCCTTTTCGGTAATCACTCTGATTCGAATTAAATCTATATGAATATTTGTAGACAGTTCGGAAACCCTAACTACACTCTTGTGGTTATTTAACATTTTTGTTATTTAGGATTTTTTAGTGTGTGTATTCTGTCTTATGTCTGTCTCTCTATATGTAACTTTTTTTTATTTCTAGTGATTGTTTGTACATTGTCTGAAATCTAGCCAGAACCATCTGTATTAGTTCGGTGTATTGATAATGTTTCGCTGTACGATTTCAAGGCACGAGATTTCATTTTAAACGTAATAGAAATTATATCAAATTTCATTGAGCATTCAAAGGCCAAGTGGTTTTTATTTCATAAACAAACTACAGCATTTGCTAAATACTGTATTCATTTTAATTTAAAATTTACGCTTTTCCCTAGGTATTAACAATAGAAACTACTATAGGTACTACAAATGATACATCCCCAATAACAATAGTCCGTTGTATTACAGTTGTTATTGTTCTCAAAACAATACTCAAGGTAGAGAATCCTGAACCGCCAACTCTTGCTCTCTTGCGATTTGTTGTTTTTTTTTCAACAAATCTTTTCTTACCATAAAAGAAACAATGGATGTATAAAACATACAGTATGTCTATATTTGTTTTGTCTAAGAATTGTTTTCCAAATAATCAGTATTGTATGCATGCTAGATTTCTTTATATGTATTTAGATGCAAATCTGCGGATTAAATATTCGTAGATAATTATACCGATCAGCTGTTATCTAATTATCAGACTATTAGGTACACACATATGAGAATTGGCTTTTGTATAGAATATAAACAAATATGTATAACAATGAACAGTTCTATTAATTTAAAGTAAATTATCCCTCACAGTGGGATTATACAGTATAGCAGAAATCAAGCTTTATATAATTGGCTATAGGCCTAAGTAATAATTGAACTTACTGACTAGTCGGGCCAATGCTTTAAAAATATAAATAAAAAAAAATATAAATGACGTGAAAAACAGAGAATATGTTGTAAGAATTATATTGTTGTACAGTCTAAAAAGTAAATAATGGACCTAAATTACCTGAATAACTGAATTTACCTAATCAAACCTGCGGACTTGGTGAATTTACACCTGCCTTGTTTTATTTTCACAAACAGGTTTTCTTAAAATTTCTTCATGTCATTTCTATTTGAATAACATTAGGTTAAAGAGTACTTAGGTTTTATGCTACAGGAAATGTAATAGATTTAGATTTTTTGGAAAATGTTTAATAGCTTATTATAAAGTTTAATAGTTGCGGAATTTGATAAAAAATATTCATAAAC